ATGTTAGTTGCCTCGTTTAATTAAAACTTGACGGCGAAAAATTATACAGAGCAAATCGGTTTAACTTACGAGCTTAGTAAAGGAAATAACTCTTCGTGACTGATTTGCCCACGTCATGAAATTCCAAACACATTTAATCACAGTCACAGTCACACACACACACACACAATATGTTGTTTTGCGGCAAGCACGGTCGGGCGACGCGCCGCCCGCGCGCCCGCTGGCAAGACAAGTGCAGCGCTGGCGCCGGTCGCGGCGTCTTTGATGATGTGAATCCGTTTTCGTTTATAGTGCGCGTTTTCCTTTCAGAGAAGAAAGAAACAGCACGATTCGCCAAAGTTTCGCTAAAGGTGCGAATACACTAAATCAGCAATAGCGATGTATTGAACAATCTGACGCTAGTTCTCCAACATTTTTATCAACAAATGAATGAATTGTTGTGGATACAACAACTTTATAATTTTGAAATGTTAAATGTTTATCATGTTGTTCGATTAAGGCACTTCGCGCACTAGACGACCGCGGCCACGATCAGTTGTGGACGTGGCCGCAACCTTGGTCGCAGAGGCGGTTGGGCTGCGGCTGCGGTCTGCAGTCACGACCACGACTGGTCGTGACGCTACCATATTGCTGGTCGTTTATTTCATTAATTAATAACTCTGTATCAAAACTGATTGTAGAAAAAAACGTCGTCATATTCAGTCGAAGAACGGTATGAAACATGTTCATTCACGAACTGTCCGCATGACCTTGACACTGATATTGACCGCATTCACTGTCGCAAATCTAGTGCGGGCCAGTACGACTGGTCGTTGCGACTATCTTCCGTATAGCTGGCTATGAGCGCTCGCACTCTAGATCTGCGATCGCAAATGCGGCCTGGTCGCTTCAGCCATTCTCAGTGTCATGCTGATAGTTCGTGAAAGAGCACGCTTCGTATCGTTCCGCAACTCTATAGGACGAAGATATTTTTCTGCAATGAGCTTTGAAAGAGTTATTTATTAATGAAATAAAGAAACGACCAGTAATATGGTCGCTTTACGACCAGTAATATGGTCGCTTTACGACCAGTCGTGGTCGTTGCCACAAACTTGTCCGCAGCCCAACCGTAGCTTCTGCGATCAAGGTTGTGGTGACGGCCACGACCACGGCTGGTCATGGTCGTAGCCTAGTGCACGACGTGCCTTAGTTAATCTGGTCCTCGCGGCTCCTGGTCGTGGTCATAATCGTCTAGTGCGCGAGGTGCCTTACTGAGGCAGTAACAAATATCAACGGCAGTTTTTTTTGTAAATGTTTGACTATAGAAATACAAGGCTTTACTTTAGTCTTAGTCTTAGTCTTAGTAAGTAGTACGGCGCGGGCTATTTCGGCATGATTATGTGAAAGCACCTTAAAAAGTCCTGCCTTTTATGTACGCCGACGCTCGCCCGCCCACCTCCCCTCTTCCCCGCGCGCGGTGCTTTGCTTTGATTGCAATGCATGCAAAGGGCAGTCGCAAGTATATCAATCGCGCGTGCGCATCTTTTGACTTAGTGACAAACACTGTGATAATTTCATTATGCCTCGGTATACGAACCAAGAATATTTAGAAATGGTGTACTGCTATCGCGAGTGTGACGAAGTGCTCAGTAGAGCCGCAAGGCTTTACGAAGATAGGTTTGGTTTACGAGTATGTCCGCAAACCATACTCAACGCCGTATACAGATTCCGCGAAACTGGACTCTTCAACGCACCGGCGACTGACTCTGGGCGACCTCGTATTTATACCGATTTGGAAGAAGAAATTCCGGTTTTCTTCCGTCAGCATCCAATGGCAAGCACCAGAGATGCCGCAGCCGTATTTGGCGTAAGCCAATATTACGTGTGGCGGCTTTTACACGAAGAGGAAGGCAGTCCCAGCTATCCTTATCATCTGACCAAAGTGCAAGAGTTGGCGCCACCGGATTTACCAGCTCGGCTGCAGTTCTGCACGTGGCTACGCGAAGAGCGCCGTCAGATTTTGTGGACAGATGAATCTACATTCACCCGAGTTGGAATGTTTAACATTCACAACTCCCACTTTTGGAGTGACGTGAACCCGCGTCAAGTCAGACCCTCACACTTCCAACGACGCTTCAGTGTGAACGTGTGGGCGGGAATCTTAGGAGACCAACTTCTCGGGCCAGTGTTTTTAGACCGCTTAAATACGGACAATTATCTAGACTTGCTGCAGAACCAAGTCGAGAACATGCTGGAAGATATCCCTTTGTCTTACCATAGAGGGATGTATTTTCAGCATGATGGGGCTCCCGCCCATTACTCTCAGCGGGTGCGGGACTACTTGAGTGATACGTATGGCACAAGGTGGATCGGTCGTGGGGGACCAGTGCCGTGGCCCGCTCGTTCTCCCGATCTAACACCAATGGATTTTTTTTTTTGTGGGGTCGTATTAAAGACCTCGTATACGGCCAAACCGGACACGACATTAGTGATAACGAGGAACTAAAAAGACGCATAGAAGTTGCATTTTGTGCAGTGAGAAGTGACAGGGACACTTTAAAAAAGGTAGAAAGACACGTCCGCAAACGTGCCTACCTTTGTTTGCAGCAAAATGGTGGTATAGTGCAACAATTTTGCAAATAATAATTTTAGTCTCTTTTTTTGCTAGCGTAAATACTTTTTGATTCGAAACAACTAATTAGTGTACTACCAGTGTGATTGATTTGATAAAAAGTTCTAGTGAAAAAAATGAATATGTTCCTCGTTGTACTTACTACATCGCCGGTCTCGTAAGTACTGTCTAATACCTAGTTATAAATTTCTTTCTGACCCAAGTATTAAACTGCAATAAGTATTTGTTTTTGTAACAAAATTATTATTAACTTTTTAGGTATTTTTCTCTGCTAATGAGAAGATAACACTTGTTCTTTATTTAAATTTTGTCATTGTAATATGACATCTAAGGCCCGTATGAATAGAACGATCTCAACTCTGAGAGCGATCTTGAGATGCTGTTTAGTATGAACACAGTATCTCGAGGTCGTAGTCTCACTGTACTGTAGATAGGTACGCGCCGCGTCAGCTGTGCGCGCGCGGTCGTTCCCCCCGGCGTCGACCTCGCCTGGCCACATCAACTATTTTTCGTTTATTTTAATAGTGCTTATTTATTTGTTATATTTCACTTACTATGAATACGTGTTTAAAAATAATTATCACTCAAAAGGAGGAAAGGACATAAAAATGCAAAATAAAAAACGAAAAAAATAATTTTAAAAAATCCGAAAAAAATCAGGTATACTCTATACACGTAACCCAACAATCTCACGAAGTTTCATAGAAACATTCAATTTCACCCTGTATATGGCTTATATGAAGCAACAAAATCGGATACAAACATATTATCTGAGATAATGAACAGTGAGACTGATCCATTTCATTGGTACTTTAATAAAGATGATGTCTTAATATTAGACAGAAGCTTTAGAAACACTATTGAAGATGTGGAGTCCTGCGGTAACAGACTGGCATATAAGTATGCCAGCCACAAAAGAAGAACAACTTTACTGTAGTGCAAGCTAATGACTCCAGAAAAGTCACTATGTGTCGTTAGGTCGTAACATAACCATAAACAGAAGACTGCAAAATTTGTAAAAGAGGCTTATGATCAGTTTCCAATGTAATTTTAATTCCTACTATAGAATCTCTAAATCTTTTGACAGCCCATGCCAACGCAAATCCCTCCATTTCTATCTGTGCATAATTTTTCTCACTATTGTTTAATGTTCTGCTCGCATATGAAACAACTTCTCTATTTCCTACCTCATCCTCTTGAAACAGTACTGCACCTAAACCCATATGAACTACTATCTGCAGAAACAATTATTTTCTTTTTTGGATCATAATGCCATAATGTAAAGCTTTAGAAATCAAATTTTTAATTTCATCAAACGCTTTCTGTTGACTGTTGTCCTATAGAAATGATACTCCTTGCTTCAATATCGCATACAAAGGCTCCAAAACATTTGATTTTTCTGGAATAAACCGCCCAACATAAGTTACCAACCCCAAAAATTGCATCAATTCTTTTTTATTATTTGGCACTTTAAATTTAATTATGCTTTCAGTTCGTGTAGGATCTAATGAAATACCTTTACTATTTATGACATGACCTAAATATGTTACCTCTTGAGCCATGAACACACACTTTTCTTTATTTATTGTTAATCGCTCTTTACTCAATCTACTTAAAACCTCTCTTAATAACTTAATATGACTCTTTTCATCGTCATTATATAAAAGCATATCATCAACTACAATACCTTCTTAATCACTGAACAGATTAGAGAATTTCATTGAAAAATACTCAGGAGAACAGTTTAATCCCATCGGTAATCTTTTATACATGTATCTGCCAAATGGAGTAAGTATCTTTGTTAATTTACGGGACTCTTCACATAATTTTAATTGATAAAAACCTGAAGTGGCGTCAATTTTAGAAAAAATTTTTGCTCCCTTAAGTCTGCCTAATGTGTTTTCTACCTTATGAATTGGAAAAACAGAACGTACAATATTTTATCTAACTGTGTATAGTCACCACATAGTCTTACACCATCCTGACCTTTAGGAACAACTACAATTGGTGATACAAACATTGTTGGCTCTTCTACGGGGACAATAACATCAAGTTCAACTAATCTGTTCAATTCTTCTTTAACTTTATCTAAAAGAGGCAAAGCAACCAACCACCCTTGGTGTATATTGAACATAAGGTGTAGGATTTGAAATTAATTTAATACTGAAAGTATCTTTAAAACTCCCAAGTTGTTAAATATATTAGGAAACTCTTTCTCTACATTTATTGTTTCCCTTAAATTGCTATTATTATTAGTATGACTTAAATTGCATAACTTCAAAATATTCATTTTGAGAATAGCTGGTTTACCCAGAATTGGCACATGTAAATTCTCAATTACAAAAGCTTTCCCTTGATAACTTTTATTATTATATAATAACTGTACCCACATAGATCCTAATATGTCCAAAGGTATACCATCTGGACCCCTAATAACTTCTGAGCATGGAAATAATTTACATTTTAATTACATAATTTACATTATAATTTTCAGAAACTACCCCAACATCTAGTAGAAATTCTTCATTTTCTCCCTCCATATGGTTGATTCTCTTGTCTTTACAACACCTTGCAAAATGTCCCCGCCTCTTACATTTGCGACAGGTCTCCTTAGCTGCTGGACACCGTATCTTCCCATGGATCTCATCTCTGCCACACCACATCAACACTTCATTCCTCTACTCTCTTCTTTATCGATTTAATTCACTTTCCAACTATTTTCCTCTTTGACTTTTGTCCCATTTTTCTATTCTTCCGTTTGGCAAGCCAGCCTACATGCGTCTTCCAAAGCTAACGATGGCATCAATTGCAATCTCTCACTTGTAACAAATATTCTATCACGAATCAATTCTTCTTTCAGTTTACCATAATCACAATTCTCCGCCAGCTTATGCAACTCTTTTACAAAATCAGCCATCTTCATCATCATCATCACCTTCTTTTTGGCTTCTAATATTAAATTAATACCTTTCGAAAATGTCATTTTTTTGAGGTAAAAAGTACTCATCCAATTTTTTTATTACTTGAACTAAGCTGGCATCTATTTTCAATTGTTTTACTAATTGCTCGGCTTTGTCACCTAACAGATATACAAGTAAATCCACTTTTTCTTTTTGCTAAATTCTTGTCGTACCCTGTAATTTGTGAAAATCTATTCCGCTATTTTTCCCAATCCCCAAGCTGAAAGTTAAATTCTTCTGGAGCCTTTATATTTTGCACCGGTAATATATTTACTTTTGGCCCTTCTGACACCATCTTGCAAGGCTCCATTGGTGTATATATTTCTCTATAAATCAAACCCCGGGTGCTAGGTTTCAATCACATTTAATAGCAGCATTTTACCTGAAATAAAATGCATATTAAAATACTTACCTCACTGAAAGCTTTATATTGAGATAGCACTTCCGTTTCCCGTCGAATTACCATCAGTTTCCGTACTTTTATTCACCTTGTATCCGGTCCAGTGGCGACACCTGGCAGAAGCGCGGCCATTTTTGTTTTCCTAAGTTTTGACAGCGCCATATTAACTCATTGGCTCAATTATTTCACCAGGCAGAATTTAAAGTGAAAGCTTTCAGTGAGGTAAGTATTTTAATATGCATTTTATTTCAGGTAAAATGCTGCTATTAAACTACTTGACCGTCACTGAAAGCTTTATATTGAGACCTGTTTGTTATCGCCTGGTGATCGCCACGTACATAGATATATACGCCAATGTGACAATTTATGATAAATTTAAATATTAACATTTATCAGATTATATGAAACTGTATAAAGAAACGAGTAAGCTTAAAAATGAATCAAATAATATTATTTGAATCACGCCTTTAATTTCTTCAAGCTTACGAAGCTGCTTTAACATATGTATTAGCTGATCGCTATATTCCTTTGCTTAAAACTATGACCGGACGCTTCCTTGTGTAGCATTCATTTGTATCTTTGTATATCACAAATAAGGCGTACGAACGCGAGAAAAAGATGTAAAGTTGTTCGATACCGAGTCTTACATTTTACAAGACTGTACTTTTTACTTAAGTACCAAAAATCAGGGTCCCACTTACGATTACCATTATTCGGTACAAGTCACCAATCGGATTGTCTTTAACTACTTTCACCTGTTTTGAACCAAAACAAGGCTAAACTAATCTTCGTCGGTACATATACAATGATTCGGGATAATTTGAAATAGGAACAAGTCATGTGTACCACATGCTGAACCAAATAATACGCAGCATAATTACTGTATGACGTTCAGAACAACATATATGACGAAGTATTTGAAACAGATCATTATGATGTAACGAGTACATTATTGAAGAAAAGGAAATAAGTTAACTTATAGACACAGAATAGTAGGTTACGGACTGATTCTTTAAAAACAATCGACTTCAATATATGTGTTTGCCAAGACAGTTGAGCTTAGGTAATTAGACTTATCATCCATTGGTATATCATGTAAAAACTACTGACTTATTTAAAATAATGGTACTTATTTTAAGATAAGTCACGAGTTAAAAATAAGTCTCTCAAAAATCGTGTGAGCTCAGAGCCGAGTCCACAACTTGCGGGATTATTCCGATAAACATTCTTGTTCCTAGACCAATGCAACCACGCCAGCCAGCGTTTCCGAGCCATCTCATAGCTGTTTAAGACAGAGCTGTCGCTCTTTGTAGAATATGTTGAAAAGCGTAGTGCTAGCATATCGTGCCGTGTTCTTCAACTATACTTCCCAAGCTTTCATATTAGATTGGCGGGAAGTGATTGCAAGGTCGATTGCAGTGAATTCATAATTATTGTTAGAAGTAGGGAGTGGTTGATACAACCCCACGGAATGACACAAATGTTGAAACCGATCAACTTCTGAAGTTTACGTTTGTACAACGAAATTCTCTGGTATAGTTTTTATATTGTTGCTGGGTTGCCGTGATAAATTATGCTATTACGAAGTTCAGACTGAAATTCATTTGCCATCCTGGAATCTATAATTGATTGTAATTTTTCCTTTTGTTTTTCAGTTCTTAGATCTGAGTCATTTATATGTATTACTTAATACTAAATAAAGATTTAGTTATTTATAAGATTTACACAGCTTACATGAGGTGTGTATGTACTATGCGTAGGGTTTGAAGTATATTTATTCCAGACAGTCGTGGTAAGGTTAGAAAGCGTAAGTTTAATATTAAGAACAGTTTTCAGTAATTTTTACTAAAATAACATAAAGGGGATAATTGCATACAATGATCTTCAAAACCTTTCAAGAATTTGGTAGATCGTGCAATCTTTCTTCAGTAACTAGCACCACTTATATATTCAAAATGATCATGTTGGCCACCTCAGACACCACATACACGACATTTCTAATATTGCAAGTTTCTCTCATTACGCGATCAAAAGAGTGAGCAACCCATTTGGTTTACTTTTGTTATTTTCAAGAGAAAATATGTTATCTTCTATTTTTTCTGGCAGATAGTCCTTAAATTGCAGAAAACTTAGAATTCTTTACATATTTATAGTGTACTGCACTTGAGATTGGAGTTTGATATATATTGGATTTAGATAAACAAGCTTTTGAATGGCATGCGATACCATTAAATTTATTTAAGAATTATTTATGGAACACCCAATTTATCAACTTACCTGCACTAAATTTTTTCAAACATTAATTGTTTCGATATTCCTTTTTCTTTTGAAATGTATTATATATTACGGTAGAACAACCGTAGTGATCGAGTCAACACTTCACACCAATTAGCCTAGCCTTATAATGGGCATTGAAAGGCTTGTGTTATGGGCTAACGCCTAGAAATGCATAATGATGATGCATAGATTAGAATTTATTAGATTAGATTTTGAATTCATATTTGTTAACAACCAAAACTTAGGCACAGATGCTCGTTTTTATCATACAATGATTTGCCCCACCGGGGTGAACCCAAGACCTCGGAGTATGCGACACCTTAAAAACCACGTACATTGCACTTCCCAACGGGGTACGTCAACATTCGATGTTCGATCTTTATAGTCTATTAAGAGGGTAGTTTATAGCCGATACTTATGTGTGTACGCAAGCCATGAGCGGGTATGTTGCGTTGCGTTGATGTATGGATTTCCACGCGATGGAAGTAATGCATTATGTCAAGCGACATTTATTATATTTTCAATTTACTTATTTTTAATGTTTCGAATCGTTTACACTTTTACAGACCCCATGGTCACAAAAATAAATTATGAATCACGAATAGACTACATGTTAAATTATGCATAATTTGCTCCACTCGAGTGTCGTATGTTACCGGTGCTTACATAATAGTACGAACTCCATAAGCTAACATGTTCTAAGGAGAACATATATTGATATTCACGTAATGGAAATAATATATTATGTGTGATATGACCCCACAAGGGCGATTATAAGATTGATGAGGATATTTCTCTATCAACGATGTTTTGTTACTGATACTTGTATGTGTAGGCAAGCCATGGAAGGCAAGTCCTTATTCATAATGAGTTCCATACGGAGGAAGCAAATTATACATAATATGCCCCCGCGAGGGGCGGTCATCAGAGTTTTGGTAATATGCACGCCGCGAAGGTGGTTTGCTACCGGTACTCGTATATGTAAGCAAGGCATTAGAGGTATTTCATAAGGTTTCACGTAGTGGAAACAAATTGTATATAATATGCACCCCGCGAGGGTGATTTGCTACCGGTACTCGTATATGTAGGCAAGGCATTAGAGGCATTTCATAAGGTTCCACGTAGTGGAAACTAATTGTACATAATATTCACCCCGCGAAGGTGATTTGCCACCGGTACTCGTATATGTAGACAAGGCATTAGAGGCATTTAATAAGATTCCACGTAGTGGAAACAAATTATATATAATATGCACCCCGCGAGGGTGATTTCCACCGGTACTCATATGTGTAGGTACGCCATGGGAGGGCATGTCCTGACACGCCTTGGGCTTCATGAGATGAAGCTTATGAATATCACTTGCCTCTGCGCGAGTTGCTCATTAGGTTGATGAAATGTCAATCACTTAAATCCATGACAAATACTTACTTAATACGATAAAAACAACCTCATAGATGGTATCTTATTAAGTGGTGCTTCATCACAGAGATCACTAACTTCTTGCAGTGCTTTAGTTTTTACTTTTTAGCTTTGTGCTAGCTGTACAAGACCTAAGAAACAATTCTGTTATCTTATCACTTTCGTTATTAAAATTAACTGAGCAGGTGCCTTCCCGCAATAATTCATTTTTATTTTAAAAATATGCAATTGCTGAAAGAAAATTAATGTCAGGAACGTGATATATCATAAATTGTCATAATACTTCTTTACCTCGTTGTTTGTTTCCAGGTTGATAAAGCCTGGACTATGATTATAATTTTTAATTTACATCAGCATATCATTTAAAATAAACGTTGAATGTCTTTCGAACAGAGCGTTCCTTTATCCTAGTTTAGTCACACGACTCATATGAGAATTTTTATTACGTGAATTGGTCAGTAAAAATGTTAGAACTTTTTATTCATAAGCCTTTAGATATTGATAGCTGGTGGCCATGTTCAGAAAACGGCATATCGACATTAGAAATACCTTATTAAGATTGTACATAGTTTACTTACCCCACGAACAATCTTTTAATAAAAGGGCTGGAATATCAAGCTCGCTTATTTTTCTTGAGGCAGCGATGCCGCTTTCGTTAGACGAACGAGAACGAGAAACGAGAAGACGACAAATTCAACCAATTATTACTGCAGCTGTTCGAAGAACAATAATGACTAGATCCACACATCT